ACATAAAGTTTCCCCCAAGCATTCTCATTCCAAGAATGTTATTATATAAATTAGCATTCTTACAACATAGAGGAGGTCACATTTAACATTTTTTCCTTAGCCTTATCTATTTATGACTTAAAAATATTGTTCAGTCTTATAGAATAGTTTTTAACTAAAGAAATATCAAAACATGTCAACATTAAATAACAGAATCAATTTATTACCTGCTTTTTTCTTCTGCTTTTGCTAGCAGATAATAAACAAGAAGAAACACATCTTTTCAACTGTTTTAAACAGTGAACACTTAAAGGAAAAAGTACCTTTTAAAGCAGATAGCTGAGTGAAGTTCTGTTCAGTCCTCCATTTATTTTTTGCTAAGGTATTTTGCTGAGATAATCTACCAATTGTTTATTTCAAACAGATAAAAACTTAAATATTTTTAAGGTAAATTGCAAGTATTATTCAATACAGAACAATACTGAGGGAAAAAAATCCTGGTACAACACCTAAGTCAGCTATGGACACACTGTATTTCAGATAGCTGGTGCTCTGTTAATGTCAGTAACAGCAGCCACACCTACTAGAAAAACAAGTTTTCCTTCTCTTGAGCAATGAATACAGTTGTGCCACAAGAACTTAATTTAAATTACAAATGAGTGTGGAGTCGTTGAAGCAAATCAAACATAGGTGATTTTCTTAAGGCTACTTAAGTTTCCTTCTGGAAATTAATCTTTCGTGTCCATATATCCCCAGTTCACACACATACTTAAAAAGAACTAGAAAAAATATACCATATATCTGTATTTATTGGGCAATCATTTTTTTCCTAACACACTATAGGCCTGGTTCAAATAGGTAAATACAGATCCTGTGAGGACCTGTGAGAGAGTACTGAAACAACAGCAGGTTCTAGAAGCAAAGAAAAAGAGCAAAATCTAGAGCTCAAGACATACCAGAACACAGAATCTTAAAGAAAAGAAATACGCAGTTATTTAAGGAGTGAAAATCATGGTTTCCCCAACATACTCATTAATTTTGACCTCCTGGAATCAACAGCACAGATACGTAGTCAGAAAATACATAAAGTCAGTGTAATTAGGAGCATTCAATTTCTTCACTACAGAGAGTACTTGGCAAATTTTAACTTCAAAAGTATGCTTTCAGTATATTTAAAAGAGTTTCTTTTATAAAACCAATAATAATTAAGTCCAATTTTGTATCTTTTAATTCCAATTAATATGCAAGTAGAACATGATACAAATTATACAAATTTGTTTTAATGCTAAATTTAGCTACTGGTATCGATGGCTACTTTGCAGTATTCCCCCTAAGCAGGCTTTGTTCCTCCTCACTGCCCTGACAGACAGACTGCAGTCATATCACCTCCCAGTCTTTGTATTTGTTACTGTTTCATTAAGCAAGACAAGCTGTTCTAAAACCGCCTCAGAAGAAACACTCTTCCTTTACCAATCACTTCTGCGTGCTTGGCCAAGGTTCAGTTAATCTCCAATACAGGAGACTAGAAATCTCTGTCCCTTGTCCATTTGTGCATGATAATTAACAAGCCCTCATCATTGTTGGAAATTTTCTTTCTTAATACATGCCAGGATTACATTTTTTGAAGGTGCATCACATTGCTCAGTTACCTCTGAGCTTGTCATCAGCCAATGATTAATATACATCTGCCCAGTTTGTTGGCCAAGTGCAGTTACACAATGTGTTTTCTTCTGCGGCAAGGTCACAATAAAGAGCTCTTGTCACAGTTACAATCATAGAATGGCTTGGGTTGGACAGAACCTCTAAATATCATCTAGTTCCAGTCTCCCTGCTGTAGGTAGGGGCATATTTCAGTAGATCAGGCTGCTCAAATTAATCACATTTCTTCTTATTTCTTTCGTCACAGTCCTTCTAAAATTTTCTCTCAAAGCTCGTATGGGATCAAGAATGCACCTACAAACTTTCATATACTTAAATCATCTTTTTTTTCCTTCCTAAACCAAGGAATCACTCATGCTTTAGCCACATTGTACCACTATGCTCACGACACTTTTTAATAAACTCCCATTATAGATTCTTCCAATACCTGGTCTGTCTTCTTAGAATTTTTAAATGGAAATTGTTCTGTATTGCCTTCCAACTGGATGTTGTTTTTACCTTTGCTGCACAGCTTCTACTTCCAGAACTTCTTTTCCGTCATCTGTCTTTAATCCTCCACAACTGACACTGTCCTTACTAAAAGGTGGAACCAAGTGCTAATTTAGTTCAAGAACCATTCCTTGGTAATTGTTTATCTTCCTCACATGCTCTCCGCATTATGGCCTTCCTTTGTAACTTGTTTTCTTTGCATGGAGACAGCTGAAGACCTTTTAAGCTGCTCATTTCAGTATCTTCACAAAGTTTACACTGAGTGAAATTTTTGATAACTCTCGGTTTATTTATCTCCCAGTCTAGGGTAAAGATAGGGGGCAAACTGATAGAGGTGATTGCAGAGCTTCAGTTGCTAATATGAAGTACTGGATTCAGTAGTACAGAAATAATAGACAGCCTAAGCCTTGGTTTACGCAGGGCCTAAATAAAAACCCACGACTAACAAACAGCCTTAGTGACTTATTATTTCTGAAAAAAGGTATTTTCTATCCTCTACTTTATGATTTTTGTCAAAAGTAACAACACAAACCACTGGTGCTAAATAAAAATTCCAAATCATTTACCATCTTTATCTAGATTGTCTGTTGCTAATCTTTTCATAGATTACATTTTTCAGAAAGACTCTTTGACACACCGGTGTCCTTCCTCCTTATAAGATCCAAAGTCAGGAGCACATTGTTTGAAGGATTAAACTGAAGGCAGTATTATTCCACTCCTTATAAAATACTGCTTAAAAAAAATTAAACTGGCCATTTCTATTCTAAATACACAGATGGTAAGCCAGACCACTATACAGTGTTGCCATATACTTATTTTGTGCCATTAGAACTAACAAACCACACAGTTTCCTGTACACTCATAAACTTCTCCATGATAATCTGCTGTGCATCCCTAAGCAAACTCCTCCTATGGTAAACAATTAGACTTTGTGTTCACTGGAAAAAAAATTGATCAGGCAAAATCAAAACTGCATGACATTTAAAAGATTGTTATTTCATCTTTTTGTCTTTCACACTGTACTTTTTTTAGCTGGACCAGAGTTAATTTTCTCCATGGTAGCCAGCAGGGTGCTGTGTTTGGTGACCACACTGAGTGTTTCAAACACATTGCTGTTTATCTGTCTCTGAGCAGAGCTCACACAGCGTCAAGGCCATCTCTGTTTCTCATGTGGCTCCTGTCCCAGAAGTAGGGCAGCACAAGAAGCTTGCAGGGGATACAGCTGACCAAACTGATTCAAGGCCCTTCCCACACCATATGATGCCACACTCAGCAATCAAAGCTGGGGGGAGGAGGAGACACGTGACTGACAACATGTGGCTTTCCAAGTTACCATCAGACCTGATGAAGCCCTGCTTTCCTGGAAATGGCTATAAATGTGCCTGCTAAGGGGACATAATGAATAGATTCCATATTTTGCTTTGCTTGCACACGCAGCTTTGCTTTACCTCTTACACTCTTTACTCAACCCATGAATTTTTCCACATTGGCCCTTCCGATTCTCTCCCCATTCCATTGCAAGGGGAGGGGTGAGCAACTGAGCTGCCTAACAGGGTTAACCCACACCACACACTGGAACTACTCTTTAGAGCAGTTATGCATGCTTTAAATCCAAGATTTAAGTCCACGCTTGTCATATCTTTAGATGTAGACTCAAAAAGCCTGGTTTGGACAATTTGATTTGTACCTTTAACTTACCATTGAGTGGTTAGCACCAGTACCGTAAAATAATGCTATAGCTGACGACCATCTGATTTTACATTTCTTGAATGGAAATAAACTCCCGAGCCTCTCCTGCGAGCGATGCCAGCTGCAGGAACCCGAGCGGGTGCCGCAGCCCAGCCCCGCCCGGGTCCCGCCGGGCCGACCACGCGCACACGGCGACGGCAGAGCGGGGGCTCTCCCGGCCTTCGGTCCCGCCGCCGCCACCAGCGCCCCGTGCGGGCACCGCCGCGGGAGGCGGGCCGGTGCTACCGGAGCCCTCGCGCCCCTTCCCGGCACCTCTGCGGCACGGACAGCAGCAGCCGCAAGGCGCCCTAAGCCGAGCCCGGCAGGTGCGCTCGATCCCGTCATCTGCCGCCCCGGCGAGGCGGCGCCGGCTGCGGCCAGAGAGACCCCGCAAGTCCTCGCCCAGGCCGTGCCTCAGGCAAGAGCCCCCGCCCGCCGCGGTCCGGGTGGGCCGTTCGCATCCGCCCCCGCACGGCGCTCCCGGGGCGGCTGCTCGCAGTGTCGAGCCGGGCCCGGTGCCTCCGCACGGATCGCTGGACACGGCACTGGCACCGGCACCGGCGGTGGGCGAGCAGCCCCTGCCGGCGGCCCCAGCGGAGCGCGGCCCGAGGAGGCCCATCCGGCGGGCAGGGGAGACTCGGCCGGAGGCGGCGGGAAGCCGGGGGCGGGCGGTGACCCTCACCTCTGCGCCTCTGGCCGGCCCGCTACCGCCCCGTCCCCCGGGGCGTTGGGCAGGGAGGCCGCAGGCGAGACGCGGCGGCCAGTCCTGGAGCATTTCGGGGAGCAAGGTCTGCCCGATCACCCAGGTCCACGTGCCGTGTGCCAGGGAGACGCATCCCTGGAATGAGCGGCATAGATAGCCCAGGTGCAGGAGAAGGACCTCAGCAGTGCCGCACCGTGCTCGGGGAAGTCTCCGGACTCGACCCTGGCGCTGAACTGTCACTTACACATTAACTTGTGTAAAATGGAGAAACACAAGCTGAGCATTATATTTTCGAAATCCGAATCAATCTTTAAAAAAGTACTGGGAAATTTGATAATTACACAACGATAAAATCCAGTAGTTTACAGGAGTCCTGTCTACTTTCGGAGACAGATCTGATAGCTGAATCATTCCTACAACAAAATACAATGTTACCATTTGAACGAGTTCCATGGTGGGATACTTTTTTCTATTGTCAAAGGCAATAAGTTACAGACCTTTTTTTTCCCTGTGAGTATTAGAGAATTTAAACATACAATGCATTTATTGCTGGGGAGAAGGTAGCATTAAATGCATATGGCAACACCTTTACATTTCATTATTACACTTCAAATTGTAGCATAGCCAACACAGTTCCCTTTCAAAGCCAAAGATGTGTATCTCCAAGGGGATGTATCCTTGATAAGAGCTACGTCACACCAATTTCCTGCAAAGACATATAACAGTGTCATCAGGTACTTCCCAATCATGTGTAAATATCATTAAAAAATAGTAGACTGAAGCCTCAAACACCGTTTGTGAACCAAATAATTTTTTCAGTTTTGAAAATCTCTTCCCTGGATACATTGATTCAGTTCACATATCAAATGCATATATAATTACACAGTACATAAAAGGGCTACTTTCCTAAATCACTGCAAAATGTAACCTTCATGTGGAAATAATTTTGATGTGCTCTTTAAACACTCCTCTGCCTTCCCACAATAAGGGTGGCTCTCCACTTTCCCTCCTTAGAACCGAGGTTTCCCTTTTGAACTTACAGTATGGTTTGAGATAGCACCTTGTTAACATTCATGATTAATGATGAGTTGTATCTCCACAGGGCTGTATCCCTGACAAGGGATTCTCTGGGGAGGTCTCTTTGAAGGGGCTTCCGACAGTGATAAATGAGGGCAACATCCATGGGAACATTCACGCTGTCCCCATAGGCATGTAGGACAGAGTGGACAGAAGTCTGAATCACCTTTTGTGGATCAACTATCATCTTCCTGGGATTGAAAACATCTTTCCTGTCAGGCTCTCTGTGAACATGCTGTAATATGTTAACACCTGGCACAGTATTCCAGGACGAGATGTTGAACATGGGAGTAGAGATGGTTTCTGGGAAGATATGGTTCTCAAAGAGGAAAATGCCAGTCCCTGGATTTTGTTCCTGAAGGCTGCTCATCATTGTTTTCCAGTTTGGATGCTTAAGAGGAAGAATTATTTCATCAGCATCATTAAGAACCACAAACTTGCTCCTTTGCATGTTACGGTATACACAGTCATTTAGAGCTGTGATTTGTCCGTAGTAGCCAATGTCTTTTGCATCCATAGAAAAGTGCCATTTAGAGGAAACCTTGAGGTGTGAGTTTATCGGCCAGGGAATTATCTCTACAGTTCCTTCTTCTATGTAAAACTTCAAGACTTTCTCCATCAGATGGCTGCAGTTGTTCTTATAGATCACCACTTTCTGTGCTCCAAGAATCTTGTACATTTCCAGACTCTGTATGAACTGCAAGACATTGTTGTAGTTTCCAAACATGGCAGAGATGCACACAGTGAAGTCAACAGAAAAGGGCTCAGGCTTGCGGTTTTTAATTTCAAACCTTGGCAGCTGGTCAATATTTCCATGTGCAAACGGATGAATTGATACATGCGTTGGATCACAGTTTTCAGGTTCCAAACAAACTATATCTGCTGCACCATAAGGGAATCCAAATCTATCTGAGTGAACATCAATTTTTGCATTTGATACATAGATCTTTCCATTGGGCTGACAGCAGAACCAGCAGTATAGTTGTTTCACATCTTCGTGGTGAACAATCCCAATCACACGAGTGACTTTGCTTTCTCTGTCATCAAAGTATGGGGATATAATAAAAGTTTTGTTATCTTTTAATGGTGTTATTGCATTTTGAGCAATTTTCCCCCTACAAAGCCGACCTGCTGGACTGGCAGTTGTTGCCTGGGGGAAGATTTTTCTAGTTATTGTATTCGGTAGCTGAAGATCTTTCCAGTAGCAGATTAAAATGCTGGCAAAAATAAGAATACATGCAACAACAGCACATATATGTTTTTTTCCACAGTGTATCATTGCTGAATTTCACAATTTGCAAATTAATAGACTTTCATACTCAGTCTTCAATTCACTTTCTCTAAAACAAAACAAACACACAAAAAATGCACTTTTAGTGATTTGTCAAAAAGGAGTAATGTTTTGTATGGACCTGTACTCTCTTAAATACCACTGTTACTGTTTTGATACCTCAAAATCTAGTATGAAGAGCTGACTTTTCATAAAGGTTTGGAAAAAAGTGAGAGATTCTCTTACACCTTCTCATTCCGAGCTTTGTTATATTTTACTCTACAATTGGGCGAAGTGCAACAGGTTCAGCTGTTTTGATATATAGTAATGGTAATATAGTGTAATTTGAATCACTTTGAGGCCGAGAAGAAACTTTATATTTGAGAGAACCCACATTCTTTATCATTTGATGTTCTGAGAAGTATGTAAAACTGGAAAATTATCTTTTCCCCTGTTCTTCCTAAAAAGGTGCTGTGAACACAAACTGCATCTGTATGAGTGATCCTGTCACAGTCTCTCAGTGTCCTGATTACCAAGTCACAATGAAAATGTTTTTTGGAGCCTAGTAGGATCCTATGGTATTCAACACTGTCTAGGATCTTTTCATTTGATAAGGCAACTGAGATTACGTAAGCGTAAACTGCTTTTGCTACTAGAGATGCTAAGTCTCAGACCACAGTTCTAAACTGGCAGTTGATTTCAGTAGGACTGAGAAGCTCTTGGAGGTGCTGCTGGACAAGAAGCTTGACGTGACCTGGCAATGTGCACTAGCAGCCCAGAAAGCCTGTGTCCTAGATTGCATCGAAAGTACATTCTCCCTCTCTGCTCTGCTCTCATGAAAGCCCACCTGGAGAACTGCATCCAGCTCTGGGGTCCTCAGCATAAAAAGGATTGAGGAAGGTAGAGAAAACCAGAGCATCATGATAGAAACTTTTCTGTGGAGGATGATTTACTGCATAGGAGATGGGACAAATTTACTAAAGGGGGAGATGAAACAAAGTGATAATAAAGTTCTAATGTCTGTCATGATTTTTTGCAGAAATACAGGATCCAGGTTTGTTCGTTTGTTTCTTTGTTTTTATACAGATGCTAAGTGCAAAAAATCATTACACTGTTCTGGTGAAATATGTTTTCAATCATCAGTCTTACAGCAGGAAGCAATATGCCTTGAATAATTCTTGTTAAATTAGGCCTGGGAAACTTACAGGAAAATTGCATTCTTAAGATTTAAGAAATAGTAGAAAACTAGTAGTGTCTTCCTGCAATAAAGACCAAATCTTAAAATATGCTTTACCTTTTGGAACACCACTACTGTCTAGCCAATATAAAGAGAGCAATTCCTGTATATACCTCTGCACAGAAGTCTTCATCTTAGTTTTATGTACAAGTTATGCAAAGCAGGAAGTTCACTCAAATGTTCCCTTGTCCCTCACGTCTCCTAGGTGAAGCAATCTCCTGCTCCTTTTTGAACTATGTACAAACAAACTTTTGCTATTGTTTCTCTTCACTTTTTGTATGTATACCTTACCCAATTTAGGCAATATAAATTCATCCCAATAACTTGTTTTCAAACAATCAATCGGTAGTTTTAGCATGCCAACAGCATTATTATCCACTTGATCTGGAAAAAAGTAGACTAGCATTCAAATTAGAAACCAGGGGCTTTGTAGGGCATGAAAGGTGACTGTGAGTAAAACTTTACAGACAGGGACACTAAAGAAACAAGTAAGTCCTTTTTACACAGGAACTTAGAAGTCTATACAAACTACAGAGACATGCAGAGATCCATATACTCTGTTTAAATAATCTACTCATCAAATAACTGTTTAATTTCTGGTAAGCTCCAGTGGTTACTGAGCACCATCCCATTTCTGTCTTTCATTTTGACCTGTTTAAAGGGATATTAGGTGATACACAAATTTTCCAAGAAAGGGATGGCATCAGTTCCCAAATATGAAATATGATTTTGGGTTCAGGCTTGTGCCACTTCTTTTGGAATCCACAGGCTGCAACCATTAGCTGATATCAACTGAACCAGGTGATTAAAACACTAAGTTTCTCTTTTTTCAGATGGGATGGGATCTTTAAAAAATGCAGCATTTCAACTATTGTCACAGCAATAATTTCTCACCAGAAATAGCCACTGTCATTCTGAAAAAGGATTATACACGAGGACTTAAGAGAGACTTATTGTACTGCTTTGTACTTCCTTTGTTCAGACGAACATATATTGTCAAAGCCTCACTTCGTATAGGATGGCATTCCAGTAAGGAACAAACGAGCACTGTTTCCACTTGTCTGATATCGCTGTGGTCTCTGTTACCGAAGAAAATATTTTCTGTGTTCAGAAACTGAAAACTATATCTCCTCTTCAAAAGAGGAATTTTAAAACACGTTAGCCACTCCGGACCTTCTCTGTTTGCTTAGGTTACTTGCAGTACAGAGAAGAAACCGGAAGACAGTGTTTAACTGCAAGGTGTGTTATATGAACAAAGTTTGAGAAACTTATTCATACACCAAAAAAAGAACTTTGCTTTTAACAACTGTTGTAGTGAAGTTTTATAAAACACTGTCACCCATTTTGCCTGGCATAGTTAAGACAACAGTGCGGCATTTTTCAGTTACATAAAGTGAAAAAAAATGGAGTTTGTGTTTGTTATGTGCAGTCTTGATATTTCACCAGAACGCACAAAATCATGCACTTCTGAACATCAGAGGAATCAAACGATAGTATATTTACTCACAGTTTCAAGCCTCATTGTGTAGTACTTCATGCTTTCCAGTGCTCCAATTCTGCTTCCACTGAAATGAGAGACCTCACAACCTTGCGTGTTCCCCATCTGCTTCCTCTACAATTGTACTAATGCTTTTGACTGTCTGTGGGGAAACCCCGTGACTCTGTTAACTTCCTGTACAGCAAATTAGTTTGCTTTCTGTTTCTGTCATTTTCTCAGGATAAACAAATTTGACTTGGAGATTTCTCTGATCAGGATTTAAACATTTTCCATTAGATCAACTGTAACCTCATGTGTTTCATCTTAAATAGCCCCTTGTGTTTTTCAGAGGAGCTTTTGGTAAACTTAGTCCTGCCAAGATTATCTCTTTAGCTTTATAATGATAAAATCAATACAAAATTGTGTACACAGTTATGAGACCAGAAAATAAAATTTCGTATTTAATCACATCAAATTAATCTAGCACAGCAGGTGTTTGAAATAGTAGATAGATATAATTTGAGTCAACACTTGCTTGGCCGGTGGACCTGTATTAATAGCCAACATAAACACTAACTTAAATGAAGGTGCAGACTGGGTGAGCAGACATGCAAAAGAATAGAAATATTTATTTTTTGGGGGGGAGCAAGCTGGATTTGTCTGCTTTATTAGCTATTTAGAGAGAAAACCTCTCAATTTCTCTTTTTAGGACTCACGGGGAAGAAACTGGTGGGGAAGAGGCCTCAAAAACCAGGACCCACTCTCTTGGTACTGTGGCAAGGAGAGCAGGACTGGCCATGGCCATGGCCACAGCCAACTCCCTTCCCTCCCCCAGAACCCAAGACCACCCAACAAGTCTGTGGGATGAGAGAGGTCTGAGGCCAAGCCAAGAAGCTGATCCTCAGGGTCCCCAGGGGACAATGCAAAACCACAACTGAGACAACCTGCTGTCAGGGCCTGGACCCCAGGGTCTGTGGGGCATGAGCCTTAAAGGGCAGATCTCAGGTAGGGGCTGAGGGCCCAGAGCCGAGCTTAAATGGAATCCTGGGCCCATGGAGGGTGTGCCAGATGGGCTGGTCAGGGCCATTATGGCAATCAGTACCCACAGGGCCCTGACAGAATGCTTTAAAAAGGTATTTTTCAACTGAGGTGCAAAACCTCAACATATATGCTTATAATAAAGGCCAGTTACTTAGAAAAAAGAATATCAGAAAACCAACAAACCACCAATACTATGAAAAACCAAAAAATTATTAGAAAAAGTCTTTCGCCTTTAAGACTTCACATTTACTTTACAAACCTGTGCCACAACGCCAGAGCTGCATCAATTTGCCCTGGGCACCATTGCATATGGATTTTCCAGAGGGCTTGTGTTCATGCCTGGACTCCTCCTTTTCTAAAGCAACTGCGTCACCTCATAGATGGAGGTTACTCCAAACTTCTGTACTCACCTTTGACTTCCAGTTTCTTTATTGAAATTTCCATTCTAAGAAGGCTCTTCTCCTGGCCCCTATTGTGATATCAGGAGTTTACTAAGCTGAGGGAAGAGCAGAAGTCAGCAAGAGGTGTCTCAGTCTGATTCTTTGTGACTCAGTATAAATAACTGGAGGAAAAAATCAGGTCACTGCCAATTGGACTTCGTACCAATATGTCCCTCATTCCTGGCACAGCTTTCCTTGGTGGCTACATTAATCGTTAATTAACTAGAGAGAGGGGAATGTTTGGCCACATTAAAAAACATCCCGAAGTACACTGACAAGTTTCCAGTGTTTCTGTGGAAACAGAAAGTTCACTGAGAATTTCTGTTTGTTCTGCCTAGTAAAAGGTGAAAGAGAAACAATAAAGTTCAGACACAGGTAAGAAAGGAGACCAAAGGGTTCACTTAAAAACACAAAGAATTACTTGGGCCATTTACCTTAAAGCATAGGCAAAGAAATTAGCTCATGAGAAAGATTTACAAAATAATAACTGAAAAATAAAAACATCAATGCCCCCTCCCCTGCAGCTTTAAGGCCCTTTCTTCTCTTGTTCCCCCTTCTCTCACAGTGCATGCCAAAGTCAGCAGTTCAGCATAAGCCCAAGAGTGAATTGTGTTCAAACGTGTCTATGTGTGTCCCACATCACCTCTCTTTTTCCATAAATATATGCAGGGAAAAAAAAAAAGCCCATAAAAACTCACCTTCAGGATTCGAAAATCAAGTCTCCTCAGCAGTTACGAATGCACCCTCTTGGAGGCTGGTAGGTGAAATAAAAACTATTCCCTCCCCTTCTCCCCGTTGTTGAAAGAATTAAAACAATTGCACTGCTAAACAATGCAGACAGGACTAGTTGGACTTCCAAGTATGCTGTACTTGAAAATAGCAAAGAACACCTCGTAATCTAAAAGGAAGTGTTGTTTTGTGGGTTTTTTTGAAACCTTTGCCTTCCTGCACCAGCTAGTTGCCCCTTTCCTTGCTTTCCATTTTTTGTCTCTGCCCTGCAAGAGAGTATGACATTATGTTCAACAAGTTATATATTCATTGTATTCATGTCAGACAGGCTCAATTTTGCAGTTTTGTATTATTACAAGAAAGGGTAACCATTTGTTACAAATAACTTTCAGCATTTCCAGGGCTCTGGGGTGTTCCTTTTTGTTCAGAAATTATTTTATTTTATAAGGACAGTGGTGTCAATTAACAAATTATACTTAAAATAGCTTACCTAGCTGGTTATTTGCTACTTTTATTCTGTAGAATTTGATGGATTTTTCTCTATATGTATGTGAGAAGAAATCTATTTGTTTTCTGACCTTGCTTGTTTGCTTTATATTCAGTTACAACATGCTTGCAAACCCAAAGCATGGATTGTCTGAAGCAAGTAATCATTGGAACACACCCTAACCCTAACCCAACCCCCACTCCAGCCTATTCTTCCTTGAAGCTGAAAAGCTGATTTCTGGCAGAAAGAACATGGCTATAGATGAAGTCCAGAAATATAAAAGATACTTCCTCCAATTCATTACTATCTGCACTTCCTTAGCACAACTGTGTTTTAATTGACGCAAAATGGGTGTTTTCATCCTTCCTAATGTGCTTATCTGACTTGCTCTTACCTCTGAGGTCTATTGAGACATGTGAACTTTGACTTTTTTTTTTTCCCTTCACAGCCCCCCAAGGAAAGGTCTGGTATATTCTCCAAATTTGATAAACAAATCTCCAGAGTAATAGGTCACAGCTATAGAAATACCGCAACACCATTATCAATTTCAGAAGAAAAATAAATGCAATTTACCAGTGCCATTCCTTGCACACCTAAGCACAGCCTGGCATCTAACATAGGAACAAAGTTATTTGATATTTCCTTTTGGTTTTTCTCTCCCAGGTTACAAGACAAGAGGCTTGGACATAATGACCATTTCATAAGCTCTTCAGTACTCATCTTTGGGTGTTGTATGACAAAAGTATGTTACCTTATAGTGAAAACTGCAATGCAGAAAGTAGTCCTCTCTCCCCCCTGCACTTTGACTCCATAACAATGTCAGTCTTGGATATTGTGACTGTTGGTTTTCCTTTCTAACTTTTTTCCCTTCTTTCCTTTGTGTATTTTCTATCCTGTTACCTATGGGAAGGAGAATAATTCCAATCAATTTTTCCATTTTAACTGATGCTATTAGTGAAAAGAACCATTTGGTAAATATGAGACACACTTATTAATGCTTCCTTGATAAAATATTTACAGTTAAACACTGGAGATGACCTGGAGGAAAATTGTCTAGATCCAACTTATTTTTAAGACTACAAGTAATAAAAGAGTCTTTAAACACTCTTCCCGTTTCTGGGGTATAACAGGAAAAAGAGTCCATTTTAGCGAAAGGATATAAGCTTTCTTTTTCAGCTGTAAAAATAGCAACTTTATATTAGTTTATTTTGCTCTCATCTTCACATTAGGTAACATTTAATTTCTCTCTCAGGCAAATGAAATTATGTTTCTGCAGAAATTAAAGGACCTTCATTGCCAGTCATAATACGGAGCTTATTTACCTTGAATATGGAATAAAATTACAGAATGGTTTGAGTTGGATAACATAGTCAAAGTCCCCTACCATGGGCAGGCACACCTTCCACTAGATCAGGTTGCTCAGAGTCCCATCCAACCTGACCTCGAACACTTCCAGGGATGGGCGAGCCACCACCTCTCTGGCCAACCAACCCAGTTTTTCACTGTCCTCATCACAAAAAGTTTCTTCCTTATATCGAGTCTGAATCAACGTTCTAGTTTTAAACCATTATCCCTTCTCTTATCACTACAGGCCCTACTAAAAAGTCTGTCCCCATCCTTCTTATAAGCCCCCTTGAAGTACTTGAAAGGTGGTAATAAGGTCTCCTTGGTGCCTTCTCTTCTCCAGGCTAAACAATTCCAACTGTCTCAGCCTTTCCTTACAGCAGAGGTGCTCCAGCCCTAGGATAATTTTTGTGGCTCTTCTCTGGACCCGCTGCAGCAGGTCCATGTCTTTCCTATACCAAGGACTCCAGAGCTGGAGGCAGCACTGCAAGTGGGGTCTCACCTGAGCAGGGCAGAGAGGCAGAATCCTCTCCTCACCTGCTGCCCATGCTGTGGGATCAGCCCAGCACACGGGGTGTTTCTGGGTGCCAGCACACGTGGCTGGGGCATGTCCAGCCTCTTACCCACCAGCACCCTTAAGTCCTCCCCAGGGTTGCTCTCAGTCTGTTCATCAGAAATATGTCAGCCTCAGCCACTGCTTGAGCTCGTCCAGGTCCCTCTGGATGGCCCCGTCCCTCAGATGTGTCACTGCATCCTCAGCTTGATGTGATCTGCAAATTTGCTGAGTTTAAGTGCCAAAAAATTTAGGTTTGTCTCTGCTTCTTTGGACTTCCCAAATCCCACTTGAAGAAACTGAAAATTTGGAGGGTTTTTCAATTTTATCTCAGAAACTTTGATTCTGCTGTATTTATACTATTAAATGGCTACACACTATGCACTATAAAATCTGTTACGCTGTATTACCATCCATTCACAAATAAAACAATTGCTACCTTTGAGCTAAAATGTTCCTTCTGTACCTCTACTATTCTTTTTCTGAATATTTTATTGTTAACAGCATACATACTCTGCACATTTTTAAACTTACAACCAAATCCAACTGCTGTTGAAGTAAACGAATTTTTTTTACATTAAAGTATTTAATTAAGGAAACAATCATTATCAATGTAACAAACTGAAAAACACAGCAACTTGATACAAGACTGAGGTAACAAAATACTTTGCCAAAAACCTAGATTCCATTGTCAGGGTTCTTATGGGTGAGACAGTTCACAAGAACTATAGAAAGAATTCTTTACACAAATGGCATGCAGTGGACTGCTAGAAAATACAGCCAAAAATAGTGCAGCAGTTTTCACACAAAACAAACAAAAATGTTGAAATTGGTTTACATTATAATGTGACAAGTAAGTCGCAATTTGAAAACCAGTTTCTTTGCCTCGTTTTAGTGCTATTTGGAAAAACATGCATTTTGGCACTGAATTACATAAAAATTGCACGTTAAATAAAATAATATTACCTACAGTTTTTATATCTTCACAATTCTGAAAACAGTAATTATGACATAATGTTTACTTTTACATAACTATTGCAGTTATTCTCTCTTTGATGGAGGAAAACTTGTATGGTTTGTGGTATTTTTTGTGCAAATGCTGTAATAATCAGTCCTGATAGGCAATATAGTGTATTTCAATAGCAGCTTTCAATTAACCATAAAAGTACCAGATAACAGCAA